GCTCGAGTCACTCGACGATCAACGGGACGACAGGTGACAGATGATGCGAAAATGACTCTAAATGTGAAACGTTTCTTCCTTTGCGCTCTTATAACACTCTTATAACCTTTGTGAAACAGAAATTCACTTCGATAATCAACCAGACTATGCTATCACATGGCTGATAAGCTATGAAACTTGAACTGAACGTTTGGCAAAAAGTCGTCCACAGATTTCGTCGCGCAAACGAATCAAATCGAGTGCGGAACATGATTTTAATTTCGCTGCTACAGCTCACTCAGGAGTCCTTTTCAAGAACCAACTTAAATTGCTGGAATTGCCGAAAGTTGAGCTATCGAGTGATCACTAAAAGTCTGGCGGAAAAGTTTTCTCCAGAGCAAAGGCTTGGTCCGACGGCTAAACTGAGATGCTGATATTGTAAAACCCCACACCGACTATCGCTTAACCTCAATGGTTCGAAGCTGTGAAAATGTAGATCACCAAATTAAATAAAAAAACCAAAATTCTGCTGTTAGAAGAAACCTCTGGATTACTGTAACAGCCCGCGCGACGTTTAAAAACGAAAACCTTCAGGTGAGAAGCATTTTTCGTAACTTATCTATGCTGGTCAGACCAACGTAGCTACTTTTTCGAGAAGCCTCGGCGATGATCAATCCCTGAAGGACGCACCATGCATTCGATTCCATTCGTAGCATTACTTGAGGTGACTGAATGCACATCTGGCCTTTACAATGACTCGCGGTGGCCTCCCGCTTAACCGAGTCAGTGCTGCTTATCCTCCCAGACAAGTCTGAGACCAGTCTGGTACCAATTTACCGACCCCGGAGGGATGGATGGCTTGGAGAGCCATGGGCGAAAGATCGAACCCTCGACCTTGTGCGCGACGCAGAGCATTTCTAACCACTGCGCCAGATGTGCTCCCATTATAAAAGTAAAATGTGGTAAATGTGGGAAGGTAAGAAAGTTTGGAAGCACAATCACAACTAAGATTAAGTAAAATAAAAAACAAAATAAAGCAACTTACGCAAAAGATCAGCGTACTCGTCGTGCCAGTTCATTTCAATGAAGGCCAGCGCGATTCAATGGAATTACTCGGATTCCTGCAAAATGACTTCGTTACTCATCTCGATCAATGAAATGATATACACTCAATAGCGCAACGGGTTAGTGCGCGCGCCCCGGACAGAGTGGCAAGATGCGGGTTCGAGTCCCGCCTGAAACGAAATTTTTGCACATCACTCTAAAGCTCTGGATATATCTATAACATCATATCATTGCTAGAAAGCAGTCAAATAAAAAAAATTCGAAGTTGAAAAATATATTTCAGTTGGAGAATTCAAAAAATCTAATAAAAGGTGAATTTGAATAATTTGAAAGAGAATAAAAATAAAACAAAAATAGCCAAATTTTCAAAATAATAATAATAAATTTACAAATTTAGTTAGACGACGTCCTCCACAGCCGGTGCTTCGACAGGGGCGAGGAGAAAATCCCTCTTTGAATCACAAGCGACTCATAAATCTTAGGCGTGTAATACGTTGTGCGATACGCATTCACGGTCAAGCTCAAAGGGACGTCCAGTTAGACTGAGGAGGACGACCATGTGGTGTCGAACCCGTGTCTCACCCTTTCCAGGAGCGCGTGTTAACCGCTGCGCTGCTTTTCGGTTGTTTTTTTTTTTCGGAAAGCCGGTCGCCAAAGATCTTATTATACCTTGTGCTAGCTGGTAATGATAGCGACTACTGCAGAACACACAGCGCGAAGAAGAGAACACTATCAACGGGTAGCAGCAATGCTGTGGCCTCGGTGGTGTAGTGTTAGCGCGCGCCCCCGGTATGTGTGGAACTTGGGTTCGACTCCCGACCAAGGTCAGAGTTTTGCATGTCGTTCAAGATTCATTGGTATCAACGGTTATTATCGTAACAATCGTTCTGGATATCTATTCTTTTGAGCATCATAACAGTCAATTTGATGTTCACCGCGTGATGTCAAGTCTCACTCAGCTACTGTAATGGCGGCGCCGCGTCTTGTGGGAAAGCAGGCAGATACCCGGACGAGCATGCGCAGAGATGCAGAGCCGCTTGTCTAACTGTCGCGCATGTGACGGCGTGACACCGTCTGCCTATCAATGTTGATCCTCGAGGGGATATAAGAACACCGCCGAGGGAGGCTTTCATCCGAACGGTACTTTACGGAAGGAGATTCGACTCGAACGACGAGGGCGAACGACTGTCCACAATCGAATCAAATTTTCGGCTCTAAGGAAGACGAGGGCAGCGGAACGTTAGTCAAATGAAGTTTTTCAATCAACTTGTGCTGTTGGCCTCATCAACAAAGTAAATCCCGAAAGATATTCTACACAAACGCTTCCAGTTCTGATTTTCACCTACTTCAATGTGTTCTAACCCTTTGAGGACCGCCATTTATAGGCAGGCGGCGTCGCGCGTCGATAACGCGGCAGTCGCAGGCAGGCAGCATCTGCATGTTTGTGCATACATGTTTGGCTTGCATGCTTTCCCACGAAATGCGACGTCGCCACTACAGTAATTGATTGAGATTTTACGTGGCGCGGCTTGGTATGAAACTCGGAATATGGTCCTCAAAGGGTTAATGCACTGCTGCAAGGTTGCTCCATCTGAGAAACAATTGTTGGAGGATTTGGGATATCAGAAATCATTCTATTTGACCGCCACTTGCGGTGTTGAATGCTGTCCAAAAACGTTTGCGTCAGCCGGGATTTGAACCCAGATCTCACTCTTTTCCTTGAGCGTATGCTAACGGTTACACCACCGAATATTGAGATACAAAATAAAGGTACCTAGAACGGCGTTCTGTACGAGAGAGCTTCATCAAGAAGGATCAGTGTCTGGAAAATAAGGAGCCGTTACACATGTGCGCGACAGTACCGGGAACCGCTTTCAAAGGTCATCGAAAAAGAAAACCCGCCAAGACTGAGGAAAACAAATAAAAACGCAGGTCACATGGAAGGTGGACTTGATTTCCTTGACAGATCAAAGTGCATTTCCATGAAGTAAGAGGCCAAATCGATTGCGTTTTGACGATTTCTACACACAGTAAGTTCTATGGTAACTACACCCCACGAATAATCACTTTTTTTGATTACTGTGCATTCCATGCATACTCTTACCTGTATGGTTGTTCTTATTTTGAATGAATCTTCTTAGACATTCAGCTTAAGGTTCCATGTGAAAATATACTGTAAGCCTCCCAAGAAAACATGATACAAGCTCCTCTATTGCATTTTCATCGTAGCGTCTGTTTTGCAACTTTTTATGCTCCTTACCATCGGTTGTTTGCCAGTATTCGTTTGTGCTCACACTTGTTATCTACGATACGGCTTCTATTTTCCCTTAGAGCGACAATTTCATCGGTCCGTATACAAGTGAGTCAGGAGTTCAGAGAGGGATTTGTGAGGTCTTCACAATAATCGACTGCTTTCTTGTCTTCCAGTGTTCCAGTTGACCGTACAACTTCGTATCTACTCGCTCAACTATATGTCATCAGCTTTCTTATACTGTATTGTCATTGTTGCTATAAACAGTTATAACCTTTTGAGGACCATACGGTATGTTTCGTACCATGCCGCGCGACGTCAAATCTCACTCAGCTACGGTAGTGGCGGTGCTTCTCGTGGGAAGAGAGACGAAGACGACATGACATCGGACCCTTTCTGAGCAGAGCTGTCTGCCGACGTAGCTGAAACTGAAAGCCTCCGGGACAATGGATGTGGGGAGACGAACCCGGGTTCCGAGGCAACATTATCATCAAAAAATGATGAAACTTCAATCAAATAGTTTCTACAGGGATGATCTTAGTAAAAACCTTCCATATTCCGTCTATATTACTTATGTTTTAAAGAGAAAACTAAATTGTCATGAAAGAAATCATATTTCCAGTTGATATACAACATTTCATTGATGTTTTTGTAGTAATTTGACAGTTTAAGAAATACCAATTTTCGTACTATGCTTGGTTCCTAGCTCGACCTTCACACTAAGTATTACTATTAGAAAAAAGCGTTGTGCTCTCGAAGTGCGTTGTTTTTACTTTACAACAATTTTTTTACTGCTCTATCTAGTTACATTTCGGTTATGGAAAAACTTCATCTCACGAAAAGATGGAATGTTAGTGAACAGACTTTCATAACGTGTTTGAGTTGAAATAACTCCCATTTACCCATTTTCAAATGAGGAGAGCGCATGTGGCACAGTGGTTAGGTGCTTTGCATCGGATACAAGGCCTATTCATCCCTCCAAGGTCGGTAAGACAAATCAAGGGGTTTCTCATGTAGTGATAGGCCTCCCAGAGCAACCCAAACATGGTCACACTAAAGTTATTCTTCGAAGTGAGAGCTGGATGAAGAACAGAAAATCATCTGGAAAGCACAGTGGACTAAGAGGATTAAGTAGAGCACGTGAATTGGCAAAAATTGCAGCAATTAAGAATATTTACAATTGAGATGATAGAAAATACTCCAGTGATGTCGCTGGAGTAACACTGCATTGCAATCTGCAAAATTATTTTCACCAAACAAACCTTGTTTTGCTATTGCTTTCGCATAATCTTGTCATTTTCTGAGTTACAGCTTGTGGCTGCTTCTCAATAGTTGGTTGTCCACACCCAGGGCGTAACCTCTGCCTTTTTTTCTCACTCAATTTTTTCACGGTTTCAGCCAGAAACTGTAAACGCGGTGACTCGTATCGTGAGAATGAAGGCCCTCGTCGGGAACGCAAAGGCAGGCAGCACGACATTCGCGCACAGAGGCAGATGCCTCCGTCTAGGACCGTCGCGTAAGCGACGGCGCGGCGCCGCCTGCCTATCAGCTCTGATCCACAAAGGGTTAATCCTAGCGTGAGCTCCTCTTCGTAAGAGTCACGCGTGGCAAACTCGTGCAAAATCGAGCATTCTACTTCGAGTTAATAACTTTCTGTGCTAAAGATTAATCAAAAAACACTCTACCGAACAGCCAATACAACTGGTACATCGGCGGCAATCGAACGCGGGTTGCTCGCGTGGCAGGCGAGCATTCTATTACTGAACCACCGACGCAACAGAATATCAGAATAGTAGTGTTGGTTGGTTTATAACTGCTTAAAGCAATGACGACAATGCACTATAAGCGTCTAGCGATATAGTTGAGCGAGTAGATACGAAGTTGTGCGATCAACTGGAACACTGGGAGATACGGGATCAGCCTACATTATTCATTCGGCCATCGTAGAGACCATACGAACTCTCTCTTCAAACTCTTGACATACTTATATGTGGAGCGATGTCAAACAGTTTCTCTAAGGCAAAACAGGTGCCGTTTTGTAGATAACAAGTGTGAGCACAAAGGATTACTGGAAGACAACCGATGGTAAGGAGCATAAAAAGTTGCAAGCAGACGCTAGTCAACAAAGGAGCTTCCACCATGTTTACTTGGAAGCGATGTCATAGCATCTAAAATAGCTTACAGTGTAAGTGCGGCTTGTTAGTTTTACTAGGAACCAACATTATAGTGTCTAAGAATGGCTTACAGTATGACTTCACGTGAAAGCTTAAACTGAACGTCTAAGAAAATTCATTTGAAATAACAACAACCACAGGCAAGAGTTAATCAAGGAAATGCACAGTCATGAAGAATTAGTTATGGGAATAGCTATTCGGGAGTCATAGTTTTTAAGAATGTTTGAAGCCTTACCCGAGTTTGGTATGCTGGAGCTATACACGCGTGTTTCGGAGGTCTCATCATCCTCGTCAGTGGCCCACGTCCCTCATTAAGCTCTTTACTGTAGCAAAGGGGACGGCGAATGTGGTGGCGGCACATTGTACAATAACATTGTGCCCTCACCACTTTGCAGTCGATGGATCGTGGCTGGTAGAACAAAATTGATGCATGGCATCGACCGTTTTTGAAACCTCGCAATAAACATTCAATATAATTTATAAGAATGTTTTTCGGTGAATAGTTACTATAAGTTCAACCTTCTAAGTGACTATTTGAGAGCTTTCAAAATTCAAAATAGAGTTCGATGGAATTTCCTGGATATTTAGAAGACGTTACCTGAAAATGAGATTAGACCTCAACATCAAATGATCTTTTCACTTCGTTTAGATTGATACATCATCGACACCGCTACTGTTAGTTCTAGGAGTGAGTCGTAAGGCATGTGGTAATGATGAGGCGTGCATAACGCCGAAACGTACGTGTACCTTTCGAAACGTCATACCAGGCCTCTGGAAGGCTTATAAAGCTCTATGAGACAAAAAGTTTCATCAACTTTGCTGGAGGTGTTACGCCACAGTGATCTGAATGTATGGTTTTACACTTCAGGCAGTGTACTACTACAAACTCTGGCCATTTGGTCTTCCATAATCATCAATCATTGTCGAAATAAGACTCAGTTGAATATGCAAAAGCTTAATGATAGAGACTTGACAGCTGTAATTAATATGAAAATATCTCGTCAGCCAATACCTACCGTTTTTCTTCTATATTTCTATGGTAATGTTGATAATACACACTCCTCAGACCTCTATCACGTAAAAATCTCTCGCTGATAAAGATTAGTAACGCCCGATACTTAGCTGTTTTTCTAGTGCTACTCATTTTAATGTTGTGCTATCGCGCTAAGCGGACTACTTCACCGACCTCCTCTGTGCTTCGAGAAGAAATGTCAAATCAGGATATGGTCCGGCTGCAGAATGTTGCTGATGATGAAGCAGGCAATGTGTGTTCGATTACTGTAACGTAGTTTTCCTATCTTCTCTCTCATGCTTGAAGCCAACTGAAGGTGATCGTGATATATTTAATATGGTGTGCGTGACGTAGACATTCTTGGAATGTTGTTCCAATATTTGAGCTAGAATCATGACGAGTCACGAGTTTGATGGAAAATTCGTCGAAGCTGTTTTTTTTATGGCTGGTTATTTGTGACCTTCAAGCACGACCTATCTCAATTTGGACATATTCATGGCAACTACAACTGTCTCGATGTTTCAGCTAATGCAAGACATTTGAGATTTGCTCGGCTGACAGTGTCTTTTCATATGAAGCACAATGAGAGGCGGAGCATAAAATAACTCGTGACGGAGCGGATAGATATCTTTCTCTATCAAAACGTGTTTGCTCAGCTATCTCGTCTTTCCATGGGTGAAAATCCTCATTCTGATCAGACCTGTTTCACACGAAAACTAGCAGTGATAAGGATTAAAGGAAAGCTTTATACTTATCTGATTCGCTGGTGGTTCTCAATTCATTGGTGTTCTATCGCATTGCGCGGCTTATTCCACTGACCTCTTTTCGTCCGTTAGAAAAATATGTCCAACCAGGACATCGCTCGACTGCAGCAGACTGTAATGGACGGAGCAGTCGATGTGTGTTTCATACAATAAAGTCGTTTTGATATTTTCTCTCTATAGTAAAATTACTGCTGCTGAAAATGTGGAAGTAACTCTTATGTCCTAATGAATATTTAGGAGCGATCCACCGCATGAAACGTAGCTGCTTGGACTTTGACAAGAAAGTCTGATATGTTAATGAGTTACAACAATTACATAGCTTCTCAATGATATTTTGACGAAGTAAAATTGTAGATTCTGAACGAATTTAGCGGCACATTGAAAGCGATGTTCATAGAGATGTAAGCTGCCTAGTCTGTATGGCTCAGCTTAGCTAGCATATCTATAAAACATCTTGAAGAAAATTCCTTGTCGTAATGCCCCCGCCACCTTCCCCCCTCCGTTCGACAGTGGGAATGTGCATTATTGTCAAATCTCTTCTGTGTTCTCGGTCTTCTACTTGAAAAGTTGTGTCTAAATCTGTTATTAGCTCTATCCCTGAAGTAAAAAGCAGTTAGAAAATTAGTGTAAGAGATTTACTCAGAAAAATAGACTCGTGAAAAGGATTCGCATAGGATAGAACTTACTTTGAGCACATTGCTCCCGCTTATGCAGAAGTGCAACTACAAATGCAGTGACCATTCCAAACGTTGCGTTAACGTTTGAAAGCTGCAGACTCAAGAATTATTCTTCATTCCGAGCTCTTATAATCAACGACTAACTAGCTAGGAAGGCAATAAATCGAAATTTTACATGCCACGGCAATAGGAATTTCTCCGATTTTCTCAACTCCACGCATCAACAAGTGTTCAAATTGAGGCAAGATATTTGGATTTTTTTTCGGAAATCTTCCATAGCCAACTGCTAATAAATAAACCCTGACGAATTTCTCAGTAAACACTTTACTCGTTTTGATTCTTGGCTTAATATAAGAGTATTATATCGAGAATTCCTATATAAGGAAGCAAGCATACTGTGATGTGTGAACACCATCGATGATGTCATTTGATTTAAGGTCATGCAATATCATTCGCCGCATTCCTCGACAACTAATGAACCGTCAGCACTGAAGCAAGGTAATAATCTGACAGATGAAATCACTAACCTTCGTTGAAGCTTAGCAAACTAGAGGCGAATGCGTGCGGTATATGTTCCATGATCTGCAACAATATGCTAGCGCGATTCGACAAGCTTTTCGTTCAATTGTAGAATTTCACAGTTTTAGTACCTCACACTATACTGATGACAAAAACACATAAAACTTAGTTTGCCAGTCATAGCAATAACTACTTTATAACCATTACTAAAACCTTAGAGATATCGGTAATCCCGAGAAATGTGTGCTGAAAGAGAACCAAATGTCCATTCTGCTACCCCTCGTCGTGATGAGTACAAGTTTTTGATCAACGGGAATAAATTATAATTTGAAGTAGAAAGTTTAGAGGTATACGGTGGGATCGGCATTAGTGGAAGAGAGAATAATAAAGGGAGGAAGTCGAGAAATAAGTGGCTCCTGGTAACGATCTCTCAATGTTCAGATAAGCTGTCGACATGCTTTGAGGGAGTGAACGTGAACTGTGTTCGGATGGAGACGTCAGGGCGACTCCTGTTCTACTGATTCAAGTAGCAGCAACCATTCCCCGGCAAAATTTTCTTAGACAAGGTTATGTCAGTAATCATGAATGAATCTGAGGAGGAGTTCGTCACGTTGAACAACCGTTAGACAGCGAAGCCGAAGAGGTCTGCTCTCAGCACTTTAGCTTACTCTCGTTATCTTATGTTATTAAGCAACTTGAGGACTATGGTAGTCACGATGTAAGGAAATAGAAATAAATAATAAATAAGGAGGCGCTCTTGGGTAGTGTATTGAGTGTAAAATCCAGAAAACCCATGAAACAGTGTCAATGTTAAAAGAAATATGCTCAACGATTTCGATGAAAAAAAAAAGAAAAATAGAGCGTTCTTTTGTTTTCCAGGAATGTTTTTCAGGTAATCGTCTAAGGTTGATAATAATGAACCATTTATCCAGTTGCTTCTGGGATTGATTGGAAGCACCACTTTGCTTAGACAGATTTTTGATAACCCATAGATGCATCAAATAACATTGCTGTTCTCTCAGACAACACAGTACCCTCGTAAAAGTGGTGGTACGATTTGTTTGGGTAAAGATCGAACCAAAATTGCATGCATATAATACAACCGATCTAACCATTGGGATTTATAAGCCATTTCTACCTTTCTTTTGAAACAAGGAAAACTAACATTAGAAAATTTAAACGAGGGATCTTTATATTGCGTCGTATTTAAGGCGATTGGAGTGCCATGATGGGCATTTTGTAAGCATAGTGAAAGGAGATAAGCGTCAAAATATATAATAACTCAACTCTTCTTAATAAACAATAGTAAAAAAAGCCAAGAACGAGTGTGATCGCTTACCAGAGCAAGATATGTTTACTGAATCAAATCAACGTTCTCTCACGTTTGATCCGCAAACGTGAACTAAAAAGAAATATTTTAGGAACTTTTGACCGCTATCGGACAAATCTTCCACCGAGTTCCCACCACCAGTGCATCTTAAGAAAGACGAAAAGTTTCTAGCGAAGGTTCTATGCGCGGTGTCCCCACTTGAATTCTATGTAATCAAAGATGCTGAAATCAGGTGCGCACTCCTGTGCCTATTATGCTTCACTCCGATTAGTTCATATCTCCAAGCACTTTTATCTGTG